TAAAAAAAAGTATAAACACAATTTTTGAGGGCAATTTCTAAATGATTATCAAGCATTTTAAAATGTGGTTTCTGTTTTACTCGTCCCTAGGATTTTATCCTAAAAAATAAATAAGCAAAAATGCATAATTTACCTATGAGAATAGGCATTGCAACCTTATTTGTAATTTATAATAGTGAAAAACTTTTTTTAAAAAGCCTGAAATGGTTAAAACATGCAATGGGATAGTATGTAAATACTAAAATTATTGTGTAATGGAATCTTTAATAATGGGGGAAAAGGCTAAAGCAAAGAATGTTTAACACTATGTTACAAAGTCCTGTGCATACAGTCATCTATTTTTGTAAAGGTTGCTGATATGGTTTGGCTCTGTGTCCCAACCCAAATCTCATCTTGTAGCTCCCATAGTTTCCACATGTTGTGGGAGGGACCCAGTAGGAGGTGACTGAATCATGGGAGTGGATCTTTCCCATGCTGTTCTCATGATAGTGAATGGGTCTCACAAGATCTGATGGTTTTAAAAATGGGAGTTTCTCTGAACAAGCTCTCTCTCTCTTCCTCCTGCCAGCCATGTAAGATGTAACTTGCTTCTTCTTCACCTTCCACCGTGATGGTGAGGCTTTCCCAGCCATGTAGATCTGTAAGTCCAATAAACCTCTTTTTTTTTGTAAATTGCCAAGTCTTAAGTATGCATTTATCAGCAGCATGAAAATGGATTAATACCGTGTGTACCTAAGTCTGTAGATTCACACTCATGTAAGACCAGAATGACAGATGCCAAAATAGTAACAGTGGTTACCCTGGGTTGAAAGATCCAAAGAGATTTCATTTGTTTTCTTTTGGCCTTATACTTAGTATAAACTTTTATTAGTGAAGATCCATTCTTCTTTTAATAAGAAAATATCCAATATGATTATAGCTTCTGACAAGCACATTATGTTTTATACATCTCTTTACCATAGTTCTGATTTTTGCTTGCCCATAAGATCTGTAAGCCTACTTAGGAAATTTTTAGCTTGACTAAAGAAGTGCAAAGGATTTATCTGTGAAATTTGGGAGGAGCTGAAGAGGGCCTTTGGCATCTGGAATGGGTCCCTTCTCCCTTATCCAGAGGTCTGCTTAGAAAGTCCTGATGGGTTGGCTGGACAGTGAAGGAAGATGTTGAGTCACCAATTCTAACCTGGCTGAGACCCAAGCCTTGGGTTGCATGACTTGTTATATATCATCCACACTGGGTGATTTTTGAGGGTGAAAGGAGGTGATACTAGTTTCACATTGTAAAAATAGGCATCTACTACTGCCCCCTGCAAACCAGGACATATGGCCACTATGGTCATAGGAAATTCATAGATTCACAGCATTAACTGCTGAAAAGGTCCAATGTCCTCCTTTCACAGATAAGGAATCCAAGGACTAGGGAAGGAAAGCTGTGTTGGCTAAGCCACATGAGTCATGAGCACACTGTTCTGAAGCTTAACTCAAAAGACTGCTGTGAGGGAGCAGGGAGTGAACCACCTTTGAAATTCCATGACAGGGAGTACACCGAACTTTTATTCTCCCCTGACACTCCACTGAAAAGAGTCAGATCAAAATTGACCCATGCCTTTTGGCTCCTAGAGTTTACAAAAAATATTCTGATAACAGCTATAGGGGGTGAGGCAGTCTCCCCTAACCTTCTTAAACTGAGTCTTTATTCATTTCCTTTTTAATTCAACAAGTATTTATGTAATACCGTGAAGTATATAAAAGTCCTGTTTCATATAGTGCTGTGGATAGATATGCCAAGTGTTATAGGCAAACTGACCAGGGAATGTCTGAGTAATATTTCTATACATTTCAATGGAGCTTCATTCATTTTAGTGTTTGAACATTTCATTGTTCTCGAATTCACTCATAAAGGTGGAAAGGGTTCCCTTATTCATGTGTCTTCTTATTGTTCAAACAGAGTAAAGCCCTTTCTTTCCCACAAAGATTGCAAGGGAACAATTATTTCCATTTCTGTTTTTCCATTCAGAAAACATACTTTTATGGCCCAGACTTTTTCCCAAGAAGGAGGGTAGGGAAGTGGGAAGAGAAGACACTTTAGAATCATAAATATTATATGTATTTTTAAAATTCTAATATATATATTCTTAATAAAATGCACAATTTTCCTTAAAATGCGCATCTTAACATCTCTAAAATCAGCATGCATCTTATTATCAGGGGAGTCTTAAAATCTTGAGTTCTTTCAAGGGAGGTTTGCAATTGCTTCCGTTGGCCACCAGGTGGCAATATCAACCCAGGATCATTTTAAATTGCCTGAGAATTTTTTTTTTTTGGTCCACATTTAGAATGTGAATTTCTGGAGGTCAAGTCTGCAGTAAATCTATGCAGATTCCATTTTGGAGTTTAAATGCTTGGGGAGCTTCTTTCATTTAATCAATACAAGCATATAGGCATGTGAGTTTCCTCACTGCCCTTGTTTAAGAGTGATGTCTCACCTGTCCCCCCCACATCCTTGCCCTAGGGGTGTAAGCCCAGCTTGCGCTCGTGTGTGTGTGTGTGTGTGTGTGTGTGTGTGTGTGTGTGTGTGTTTCCTTTTAGAAACCCATATTGAGGGTTTTTTTCTTTCTGAGTGCTGCATAGAAAATAGAGCATCTTGCAGTTGATGACACCTTTACAGTAGCTGGATTTTGATATCTAAGGTCTCTACTTAACCTCTTGGAGGATAAGTTTTCTCTTTAGTAAGTGAAATCATAAACTGATGTATATAACAGCAAGCACAGAGAAAATGCATCTTAATACTATTTTCTGATTCTGGAACCCTATGTATTTGAAAGCCTTGAACCCTTCTCTACTTAACTTCTCCTCTAAGCTCCCTCTCTGTGCCTCCCACCACATCCAAAGTTCAACAAAAGGAAAATGAAGACAGCACAGGATTGTCATCTTCTTCTTCGTAGGAAACCCTGGGAAATCAAGTCCTGGGGACTCCTGGCAGAGGCAGCGTAGTAAACAGACAAGAGCAGTGACTATGGCATCACTGTGGGCTCAGATTTCAGTCACTTTCTGACAGTTTGACTTTGGAAAAGCTTCATAATGATTTCTCCATGTCTCCTTTCATCAAGTATAAAATGAGGCTCATAAGAACATCTACTTTATATTACTTTTGTCAGTCGATTTATGCAGACAGCTTAGAAATAGTGCCTGGTACTTACTAAATACCCAATGAATACTTAGGATATATTCTCTGTTCAGCAGTAACACAGTCTCTAGAGAGAGTCTCAGAGCAAGAGTCAATGAAACAGATCTCTGTGGCAGGAGAGGACTGAGTGTTTTCTGATGTGTCCTGTTGCCATCACCACTGGGGGACCCATGCAATGCATAGCACAGGCCAGGTGGCCTGTGGTTAGGCTGTCTATGGGCAAGTCCTATGTTTGTTCAGGGTGCTGTCCTCTGGCTCTTCTGCAAGAATCTTCCCTAGACACAGAAATCAACATCAGGCACACCGTGCCTCCCTTAGGTCCATTCTGCTCCAATACCAGATGGCTGCAGATGAGATGTGAATGCTATAAAATAAAAGACACTAGAAACTATAGTATGCAGGGGTTAGATTATTAGAGAAGCAAGTTTATCTTTAGCAAAAATAGATAAAAGCATTTAGTATAGCTCTGGACACAGGTATTTACCCAAGCTAATTGAGAAGATTCTTCATAAAGCCATCTGCTCTTCATCCTAGCTTCTTCAATGCAGTAACCAGGAAAGAAAATGCGTTTAATTTGGACCTTAAGCCCTTAATTATATGACGAATTAGAGAAGAGTGTCTGCTACTTTTTTTGTGGGGGGTCGAGTGAGGCAAAATGTTTCTTTGCCTTTTGTTAGTACATAGACACAATCCATTTCAAATTGGGAACTGCAGGTGAAGGTGTTAATTTTGGAGTCTGCAATCTTTAGGTAGTTATCAAAGAAACTCATTGGGAATGGTATATGTGCACAGAATTGTGAATTCTCTAAACCAAGGAAAGCAAATCTCCCAGGCAGCTGAACAAACTCTCAAAAAAAATTGCTCACTGGAGCTTTACAAAGTATTGAATCAAACTCCTGAAATTTGCTTGTAGATTCCCTGCTGTTCCTGCCGGAGGCTCCTGCAGATGCCAGGCACCCCTTGTGCTCAGTCAAGGAAGGTCTGTCAGCTTCCATCAGCGCAAAGGAGCAATCCAGTTAAGCAGGGTCAGCACCCCATCTTCCCACTCCCCTCTCCAGTTCAAAGCTGAGGTGGGGGATGGAAATGGAAAAAGTCGCCATTAATATAGTGATAGTTGCCATCTTTGAACACTTTACCTAATCATGGTATTGTCTTGGAGACTTTCGTATTAGCCATGAGGTAGGCGCGTTCATTATCCTCATTGTACAGAGAGGAACTCATGCTCAGAGAGGTTACTTTACTTAACAAAGGTCACATAGCAAGAAAGTGGCAGAGGTGGAATTCAAATTTGACTCTGAATCCACAACCCATCTTCTTTCTACTATGCCTAGGTCAGGGGACTCCGAGGCAGCAGACAGCTGGGAAAATGGGAGAATAGATGTCTAAAATCTAAGAAAGACAGTGTTTATCACTGATGCTTACATCAAGTTATTGGGTGTCCTCATTTATTACATTAAAATGGTTGCAGCTGATGTGAATTAATCTAAAAGCAAAGGTAAGTGGCTGTTAATGCTACTTGGCTTAATAATCTCAGAGTGGAAGAAACCCTTTGATGCATACTGAGTTAAAGGAATCTTTGTTCTTTTAGTCCTCTTTTCCTTAAAGAGCAAGCTGATGTTCTCTTAATCTAACCAGCATCTCCTTTCGTGACTTTCAGTCTACTCATGATTTTCAAGGAGAAAAATCAAAGACAGTAGCAAACCAAAGCGAACAAACAAACCAACCAAAACCACAGCCCCTGGGCTCTCTCTCTAGTCCCATGAACATTTCCAACAATTTACTCAGAAAAAGAGCCGCTGTGGAGACCCAGCTCTACCTTATGCTCCAGGCTGGAGTCTTTAAACATCAGTGAGAATGGCTTGATATGCTCTCTTCTCAATTTATCGCCACTCCGCAAGTCGATGGTATGTTCTATTCTCTTGTTAATTTCCTCAGGCCCAGACTGGACATGCAAAGCTTGTGCAAGATGGTTTGGAAGCAGATTTATTGAATTTCTTGTTAGGGCAGCCAGAGTCTAGGGGGAAAGCACATGCAAACACAATAAACCTGCTAGTCCCCTTTAGATCAAAAAGAAATGCAGTGTTTTTAGATCATGTTGCATTGCAAACAGTAATAGCATTCCATGCAGTTGTATTCAGTGAAACCTACAGAAGTTGATCTGATAGCATTTGGTGCAGAGAAGTACAACCTGGCAAAATATCCCTTTTCTCTGTGTAGGCACACTGAATTCCTTCGGTTGAGGTATTTGGAGAGTTGTTGGCTTAGAAATGTTAAACAAGACCCTTTCTCTAGCCAGGCACAACCTGGGTATGAGAGAAAGAGAACCAAAAAAATAACAGAAAGTAAATATATGTTAAAAGTCCACAAAAATGATCATCTCCAACTGAGTAGATTCCACATTTTCGTGTGACCTTTCATTTAATGGTGGTTTAGAGACTTGGGGTTTTATGGCTTGCATTTTTTTTTTTTTAGCATTGCTGATAGGAAGACAGCCAAATGTGCCAGAATCTGCTCCTTAAACTCGATAAAGATTGTTAAATTTTAATACGTTGCTAATATGCCCCTCCCCAGCATTATCTCTATATAGGCCATTATATATCTATATCTTCATATAGATATATGTGTGTAACTTCTTTTAGGTAAAAAATGCAAGCAAGTTGCAGTCTCCCACCATTTCACAGGGTTACACAGCACGAGACGGGGAAAGGCACAACTACCATGGTTGGTCACTAGATATGGATACATGGATGCAGAAACTGCATTGGCTTCTGAAGAGACACCAGGTTTGGCAGGGAGACTTTTTCTCCTGGTGATTCAGTAGCTGTGATAAGATTAACTGGCTAGATCTAGCCAAATGCAGTGTTCACTCATAGCACCAATTTAAGGCAGCCTCTTAGACCAAAAAAAAAAAAAAAAAAAAAAAAAAGATGTGAGTTGGACCTAGACCTGAAAGGATACAGGGACAAGGAAGCCCAGCCCCTCCTTCCAAGAGATTTTCTTGAGGGAAAGTAGAGGATGCCACACATATGTAGAGTGAGTAAGGAAGTGAAAATTCTTTGCCTCTATACATGCTCACTGCATTTGCTTTTCTCTGCCAGCCTCTCAGCTTAGCTATGTTTAGAACACAGGCTAGATGAAGATAAGATTATAGAGTCATCAAATGGTAGCCTGTCAGAGGTGACATAGGACCCTGCAGATCCTCTTGCCAAACCTTCGGATATTGATGAGCCTCAGAAAGTCTTGCTCATTTGCCACCAAGCCAGATCTGCTGACTCCAGGACCACAGCTGGAGTCATGAGCTTTGACCTCTGGAAGCCATCCAGCGCACCCCATACGGAGTCTCCTTATGGTGTTGTTGAGCCCTTCATTTTAACCTTCATGAAGATATTCAGTGTATCATAAATTCAAAGTCTAAAGCATTCTGTAGCTGGGCTCATCATGGCTAGAATTTACTGAAACAGCCCTAGAATAAAGAATAGAGCCGCATATGCCAACAGGAGAAAGCAAAGTATATGCTCTTAGGCCACCGAAGCATGTAATTTCAGCTCTGAGTACCAAGGAGACAACTACAGAGAAAAAAATAGATGTTAGGGGGAGGTATGTTAGAAGGGCTGGAGTAGACCCAAGGAAGCAGGAACCAATGTTCCAGATAATTGAACAGCAGGATACATGTGGAGCCAGAAAATTTAGCCCCTGGAATTAAATGCTATTTAGTACAGCATACCAGAGAGCAGAGGAAGCTGAACTGTCAGCCACTTGGTGGATTTCCCATTGATTTCTAGGGCAGAAGTTTTTTTTTCACACAGCATGGAATGTGACAAAACTCCATTTTCTGTCTTGGAGAGGAGATGGAAAGGATGCTGCAGCTGCCCTTGTCTGACCATACATTCTGACTTTGGGGTGCCAGAATGCTCTTGTAAGTGCTTGGAACTGGGATCTAGTAGCTGGAGATGAAGTCTGCTACAACATCTAAGCGTATTCATAGTTAGGCATCACTCACTGTCTGAGATTTTTATTTGTATATGGTTTTCCTTCTTTGAACTAAATTGAGCTTATCCACTCCACCAGTCCCTTATGCCTTCAGTGACTGTAAGATCTTTGGATTTCACAGAGGAGGGAAGTTTCAAAAAATAGTTTTGGGACTGATTTGTTTAAATTACAGTAGCAGCAGCAGCAGTAGAACCGCAGCAGCAGCTATAGCTCTTTAATATGACCATGATTTACTAGAAGAAAGGGCATTTTTCCCTCCAGCAGGAATGATGTAATCTCAGAATAAAATACAGTTCTTTGCATTGAATACATTTAGTTTAATAAATAACTCTCTACTTTGCCCTTATTTTTCTCATATTGATGTGGACTGGTGAAAATGTTAGCAGGAACTGATACTGGTATGCAGAGAACATTTGGAAATAGGAATAGACATTGCTTCCTGGTTGCCTGTGCTATATTCATCTGTCCATTCAGAGAAGGATTCTGCTGCCATTGGCCACTTCTGTAGGTCAGTGACCAATGAAATCTCCTCCTCTCAAAGCTCCTCTGCTTCTCTCCACATTCTGTTGGCTGTCTATGTGGTCACTTCAAATGAGAGAGAAATTTAGAGGCATCCTTCTTTCTTTCATCACTGCCACCAAGTTATCAGTAATAGTTGGGAAGCAGCTCCTTTCATCAAAATGTGAATAATGTGGTGGAGAATTCTTTTCTTGCCCATGTAACTATTTTTATTCTTTGGAAGTGTTTTCCTAGTATTTTATGCAGATAGTCAAATTTCAGTGATCTCCTTTCTGATCATTTCCTCTGTTAATTACATATGAAAATTATATGTGCTGTTTGGCCAGCAATCTCTTTAGCACCTACCTCATTCCTTAAGGGAATATGTACTTAAGAGAAGCCCATCATTAACTCAAGAAGGCAAACAAATTGAAACTAGAAAGGGATATCAGGAAATCATCTACTTTCATTTAACCCCCGGTACACTGCAACGCATACATGTCTTTGGGGCAACTATGATTTGGGATAATCTGTGATACCCCTCGATCTCATTAGTCGTTAGTAATGACTACTAAGAAGTCACCTTCAGTGGGATAATGTTACCAACATCAAAAAGCCACACACTGATATATTCACAGTGATTCATTTGTAATCAGTAGTGGAGACATGTATACCTTGTCTTATTTGTATATTTAGAGTCATACTGGAATGAGCTATTTTTAATAGAATAGGGCTTTCTCTTTTTAAGATTTATGGCACCAGCGTGAGCTGGACTGAGATCATGTTTAAAAATAGGGTAAGCTTCCAAATGTGATTCCAGTATCTAATTGACCTCTAAAATATTGAGACTGTTCTTTCACATAAATACCTTAAGCAGTTGGCTAAAGAATAGGGAAAACAAAAGGATGAAATGAAAGAAAACAGGAAATGCCATAATATTTTACTATTATATATATATATATGTGAATACATATATTTGAACATATGTTTCAATGTATGATTGAAGTATATATAATTATATATATTATATATGTGTATGTGTATAGTTAGCTGGGTTTTTGATATTTGGGATGTCAGATTGAAGCAGCAATGTAATAAATAATGTTATCAATGATGGTATAAATAAATAATGCTATTTATTTACTTTAGCTGGTGTTTTAGATATTTGGGAGGTCAGATTGGAGCAGCAGAAATGTCAGAGGTTGAAGCAGAGGCCTCTCATGACTGAATTTTTTCCCAAAAAAGACACTAAAGCTCCTAGACTTCTCCCAATGAAGAAATCTTTAGGTATTTCCATAAATGCTTCCTCCCTCACAGGTGCTTGAGACAGATCAAAGTGCAAGTGAGAACCAGAGTTCCTTCTGAACTGAGTTTCTGATGATAGGGTCTTGCTTGACAGTTTGGGCATTCTGGTGAAAATTATAATGAGAAGGTCAGGTAGCTCTTTGAGAATTGCATTTGAATGGGCTGGGGGAAGTTACAAATCCTTTTAAGCTCATCATTTGGTTTATGATCAGAAGATTCTTCTTTAGGACTTGTCTTGGTTCTGCATTCCCAGTGAAACCCTGCTTTTCCTACAGGTCCTATCACTTCATGGATGGTCATAAAATTTTGTATTTATTAATCAGTTTGTCACAGCAAATAAATTCTTCCCAGCAAGATTGCAGGCTAAAGGTGTACTGTCTAGAAACATCCAGCTTTGTTGAGTCAAAACCATTTTAGGGCTTAGAGATCACATACTCAAATCTCAAAAGACCCTGTAAAGCATCCTTGTAGACACTGTAAATCAGCTTACATAGTTACAGAACTGGAGTGATCTATTTCATTGTTGGATCCTTCTCTTTCTAAAAAATTTGTTTCAAGAAATACAAGAATGATGAGATGCTTCATTGCAAAATGGTTCTGTGGATCAATCAGTTTAGAAAACGCAGATTAATTATTTATTTACTGACATTTCTGCTTACCCTAATTTTGTTTCTTTTGTTTGTTTCTTTGTCCCCACGCCTTTGACAATGCTCGATACTTTGTAGTCACTTAAATACTTTGTAGCCACAGTAAATGTGGCTACTGAATGGAAAATTTCTTTTACCTTCCTATCTCAGTATACTTTACTGAGATAAAGGCACTGGTAGGTTCTGCAGAAATGAGATTTTTGAACTCTGCATCTTCCAAGCTTTTTTGACCACAAATGCCCCTATCTTGAATTGCCTTTATACGTTTCATGGAATGATGTTTGGGAAACAGTGCCCTAAAGTTCTTACCTGCTTTTATGCACAATTTCCACACACTAGACCTGTTTCTGATCTCTGAACAAGATCTATATACGTCTCTCTCCATGTGGCTGCTTTCCAGTGTCCTTAGTTTTCTTTCTCGGCACATTAAATTTATTTCCCCAATTGTTCCAAAGGTGACATAATGTCTACATATTGCACAGTTCTTCCTAGTTTGTCCATGCATTGTGGACACTACTTCACAGAGTATCAGACCCAGTGCTCATGGGATCTGACCTTGTGGTGGAGCTTGGAC